GCCGCCGAATCAAAGTGTTTTTCCCCGTTTTGCAAATCGTCCATGAATATTCACGGTGATGTTTTGGAAGAACGTGTCGGATGAAAAGCGGACCACCCAGAGTCGCGAGTTAACAAGGGGCGACCACCCGGCGAAAGCTCGTTTTGTCTGGCTGCTTACACCTCGTTACATCTACATACTAATTGCACAACTGACAAACCCGTAACCAAGGTGAGAACTTTATGTAAAACTGGACTTCGTATCTCCTATAATCTATCCATGGATAAGTTCCAAAAATATTAAATTACACCGCGCTAAATTCATCATTTAAATCCATCATCCCCCTAAACGAAAGACAATAAATCCAAATTAAAGTAGCTTACAAAGTAGCAAATAAAATTCTTTTTGACATTCTTTCCTCCTGGTTAAGAAAAAATTCAGAACATTGGTAAGCTCGTCGAAGCTCAGGAAGTAAGAATCCAAGAATCCAATCTGTAATGTCTCCCATTCAATGATAGCATTAGTTTAACGCCTTATTTCAACTATAATTCCTTTTTATTTGTATTGGATACATTTTAAATTTATTTACGCCAACTTAATCCTTTCAACATTTAAATACATAACATATATTAAACTTATATCTTAAAATCAGCAAACGCTACCGGTCGGCAATTTCCATGCTCCAATTACGTTCAAAAACTAATATTTTATAATTAATGTCAGTTTCTTACTTTTAAGATACATATTTGACGTTTATAAATAAAGTGTCTTTTAACAATGGAACAAAATTGATTGACTGTGAAGCGGTGAAATTATTTGATTGAAAAACTCAATTGTTTATTTTGTTAGTAACAAATACAAACACATAATCATAGTCGCTATGATGTCATCGAGTGTGTTTGTTGATTTCCAAATTGTCAATAATTCATACGCCAGACCGGGTTATTGTTGTTTTATTCTTGATTAAATTGATCATAATCAGACGTGCGACAGAGCGAGGTAATTAAAAAAAATATTTAATTATCATAATTTACATTAATGGAATAATGAATTACTTCGGACAAAAAAAAGGTTAATTTATTGCATCGTTAGGAAAAGATATTGTTTTAATTTCATCAACATAACGTAAAAAGTTAATTCGGATCTAGCACTTTCTTTTCATATGAAATCAAATGATGTTTGACCAAAATTGATTGCGATTTGGCCAATGATCTTCGGACATTCACTTCATCGTACATGACGTAGTTTTTTTAAATGAAAGTAAATTAATTTAGCAGATCTCAATAGCATTAACAGCATGTGAAATGGTCGGATTAAGCCAGGAAGCTTAACACTTTCAATACGGCTGTTGAACTTTCAAAAAATTATAACAATAATTTAAAAAAAAATTAAAGTGAAATGATTATAATAACCGAAAGGATAGAAATAGAATGTCCTGATTGTTACGGTTTTGAGGTAGACTTAACGCAACCGTTTGAACAGCCAGTCTTTCAGAAAAAGGACTTTTAAATTTAAACTATTTCCATTGTAAAAGAATTGCTAGAATTGAGAGGAATCCTGCAAATCGGACAAAATTCAGGTATATTTTTTTACAAGATGATTTTCATTAATTAATTGGTGCTGTCTTGGGTATCAGTTTAACATTTTAAAACCGGCAGACGGTTTTTACCATTTCACAAAATCATCATGTCATGATGTTTTGTTGTTACTAAATAATCATTATTATTATTTAAATTGATTTATAATTTTTATGTAAAGTGTGGTTGAGATGAAAAATTAGTATCAAGGCTCTATACCCTGGTGCTCGTTGGATGTCGGAGGTTATTTTTCATCTCAACACACTTAACATAAAAATTATAAATCAATTTAAATCATTGAATTGGTGAAATAGGATCAACTAAAAACATACGGGTTATTATTATCATTTTAAAAATTCTCCAGGCCATGCTTTTTCTCCAGGATAGAAATTGTTCTTACGCCTCCACATATTGCGTAGCTGTAACAAGAGGGCGAATCGGTTAAACCGTTAAATGGGTCAAAACTATGGAAAATCCAATCTTGTACTCAGGCCGGGTTGCGAAACGATTTTTCCAGTACGAGTACGCATACACGTGCTGGCAATTTTTTCCATGTCGACAGATCCAGGCAATTTTCCGCGACGTAATCTATGCAAATTGTCAACGGATAAGAGTTTGACGAGGACAGACCGCTTTTCAATAGCGGCTACCGGGAAGAAACAATCCATCACCTCAGGTTCTGAGAAAGCGGGAGAAAATGGGCTGGGGGACCCTCTTTGGTCCCCCTCATTATTACCAGAGCCGGCTATGAAAAAATTGACAATTTACATAACTCTGGCTGGGTAACTCGCCGCGTTTTCCTTTTTACCTCCAATAATGATTATAAAGAAATATAACACTTCTTGTTCGATAATTCTCTAAAAAACCGTGTCCAATATCGAGGTTATTCAGATATAATTCGAAATGAAAACATTATTTTAAGACTTTGTATATTCTATAATTAATCTTTATAACATACTTATTAATTCATTTATGTTTAGTGGCCTAATAGACTAAATTACTTAATTTCAATTAATTATTATTTTTATGTAAGGCCTTGGTCGAGATGAAAAAGTTAGTATCACGAGCGTGATTCGAACCCATGACCTTCTAAATACGCCGCTGTTCTACCACTTGAGCTATCGTGACTTCGATCCACTCGGACACTAACTTCCCATCTCAACCCCATCTTTTGAATTTTCCCTCCTTTTTGCCATTTTTCATTTTTATCTTAACTAAAATAGTAATAAAAACGTTAAAATCGTTGCCGCGGCTCTGCCTGTGGGAAGCGTCGTTGACCTTTTCCAAAGAGGCGGGTGAGGACCTAAAACATAAATTTCTGTTTAGATAAATTCTAACAAATTAGAGAAAAGTTGTAACCAGTAATCAGGTGCACACCTATTAATGCTCTTCGCAGGATTTTTCATTGATAAAATTTTTATTTACGAATCCAATATGTTTAGTGGTCTAATTGACCAAATCACTTCTTTCAATTAATTAATCTTTTTATGTAAGGTTTTGGTTGAAATGAAAAAGCTAGTGCCATGAGCGTGATTCGAACCCACGACCTTCGACTAAATACGCCGCTGTTCTACGAATTGAGCTATCGTGGCTTCGATCCACTCGGACACCAACTCAACCTACAACCTTTCGAATTTTCCCACTTTTTACCATTTTCCATATATATAATGCGAGGTCTTCGCCGGCCCTTCTGCCGTTTTTTCTACTCCTTTTCGTGGTCTTTGCCACTTCGTTTTTCAACCTAGAGCCATTTGAGCGTCCCGATCTGCTACTGACCCTCTGCTTTTTTACAAATTCACAATTGATATCCTAACACCCAAGACAAAAAAGCTCTTAGAAGGATAATAGACTAAATTACTTATTTCAATTAATTATTATTTTTATGTAAGGTCTTGGTCGAGATGAAAAAGTTAGTATCACGAGCGGGATTCGAACCCACGACCTTCGGCTCAATACACAGCTGCCCTAGAGGTTACAGCTCCAGTGACACTACCTTTTTGAACTCAACAAACCTTACATAAAAAGAATAATTAAGAAAAAATAATTATTAATAATTACTCAAATAAATAATTAAAGAATTGCACAATGCATTCCCAATAAATTAAAAAGGTTACGATGCAAGTTTTTAATATTTTTAGTTTATTGTATACTGCAAGCGAGGTTTTTGATGTATTAAAAGGAAGAAAACCTGTGGAAAAAAATCGTCGAGTGTAGTTCTGCCATGGGATAAATAGAAAAATCAATTATCCAGCGACCTTTTATGGTTTTGATTAGTTTCAAAAATAGAATTAACCCATTATTTTAGTGGTCTATGGACCAAATTAATTGTTTCAATGAATTAATATTTTTATGTATAGTTTTGTTGAAATGAAAAATGGCAAAACGGAGGGAAAATTCGAAAGGTTGTAGGTTGAGATGGGGAGTTGGTGTCCGAAATGGTTCAAGTGGTTGAGCAGCGACGGATCTAGCTGTACGTCATGGGTTCGAATCCCGCTCGTGGCACTTGATTTTTCATTTCAACCAAAACCTTACTAAAAAGATTAATTAATTGAATAGATTTAACATGGGAACGAGGATACATGTTAACATTTCAACACATACATTCGCTGATGATACAGCGATTCTTACACGTTCAATTAACACTCAACACATACAAAAACACCTGAATGAATTAACAGTATCATTCACAAAATGGAGAATGAAGATAGACCTAACGAAAAGCGTACAGATAAATTTTACCTTATGTGAAAATATCTGTCCTGCAGTGAGTATAAATGGAATCACATTGCCTACCCTGGCCTTGTGCGTTATCTTGGACTTTTCAAGGATAAACGACTGACTTGAAATCCCAACGCATGTCCAAAAAGAGAGCAAACAAACCGACCTTATAAATTATTAAAAAGACTACTTGACTCACGATCAAAATTAGACAATGAAAACTTACTTTTAATTTACAAAACAATGATTAGACCTCTATGGGCGTTCAGTTGTGAAGTGTGGTGCTTAACCAAGGATTCCAATTCTTAAAATCTCCAATCAACCTATCCTAAAATTCTCCGTCAAATTATAAATGCTCCTGTTTACGTTTCAAATTACACTATTCATAACGATCTACACATCCTGTTTGTACATGAACTCATCAAACCCCGCTATAAAAATTTTTACCTATCATTGATGATACACAGTAATCTATTCGTACGAAATTTATCACTTCCAACCCTGCCTGAAAATCCTCCAAGATGATGGAAGGGAAAGTGACCCTGAGACTTTCTCATTGAGTGAACATTGAACAATATCATCAGTGTGGAGTGTTGGAAATATTAAATAAATGAAATACAAAGAAACAAAGATGTGCTTTGACTAAAAAAGCATCGTAGGAACGGATGCTTAGAACGGGGTTGTAATATTGAGAATCATTTCGATGTTTTTGTTTGATTTTTTCAGGTAGTCGCAGCATTTTTGTCGTCGGTGCTCGCCGCCCCCGACGGCTATCACTACGACAACCCTCACGGCGAGCCTTTAGTTCAGAAACACATTTACGTCCACGTGCCGCCCCCGGACCCTGAATTCCACGCGCCCCCGCAGAGGCTCGTCCCGGCTCCGCCGCCCAAGAAGCACTACAAAATCGTCTTCATCAAAGCGCCGACTTACGCACCGCCCCAAGTCCCGGTCATCCCTGAACTGCAGCAGCACCAGGAGAAGACTCTCATCTACGTCTTGCACAAAAACCCGAGCGAGGCACCGCCGATCGTCATCCCGACCGCCAAACCCACTCAGCCTAGCAAACCAGAAGTTTTCTTCATCAGGTATTTACCGTTTCATCTCTTACGGTTTATTATATTCTTCACTGCTATGAATATTTCCTAACAAAACTTTTCAACAAGCTTAACAGTCATAGTTTGACATTTATTTCCATTAAGCCTAATTAGAAACACGTTGTTAATTAAATATTGTTATCTTATTCCTTTTTACCTGAAGGTTAAGAGAAGTATTTTTGATGGAAAATGCATTTGTACTTCTTTACCTTGTTGTCGTTTTTCTAGGTACAAGACTCAAAAGGAGGTCGGATACGCTGGAGGGCACGAAGGTCAGGAGGGTGAACACTCCGGAGGTTATCTGCCGAGCAGCACGGCCGGCTACGTTTCGTCCACACTGGCGCCGCACTACGTCTCCAGCACCCCGAGGCCGTATATCAGAGCCTCCAGGACACCTACGCCCAAGTATGTCACTCCCCAGGCACCAATTCACCCCCAAGAGCACTAGTCCAATTTGCCGAAAGCACTCATTCACTCGTTTCCACTGCTAAAATATGTAATTGTGATATCGCATCATGTAAATAAACTTTTTATACTGCCAAGCAAACGATATATCACCCTTCACTCGAACCTCCTCAGCACAAATCTGCACGAAACTCTTAAATTTATCGCTAGAAATAAAATCGATAAAATGGCGAACCTTTATAAGCATCCGTTTCCCAGGTACAAGCAATCGAAGGAATCGTCTCACGGAAGCGAGGAACAGGATTATTCTCCTAGCAGCACTGCTAGTTACGTTTCTTCCACTGTCGCTCCCAAGTACATCCACACGATAAGGCCTTATGTGAGACCGGTGAGGACGCCCATGCCCAAGTACATCACACCCAAGACTCCCGTCGTCTCCCAAGAAACTGCCAACTCGGAGGAAGATGCGGAAAGCAACGAATCTCAAGAATGAGATGACGGATTTAGGCGGAATCAATCATACAGTTTATGTTTTCTAAATGGAAAAAAAATCACTTTGAACAAATCGTCATTCTTATAATTAAACTGTTGTACTGAATATGTATATAAATAGGTAATTTTTTTAAAATGTATTTTTGTAATTTGATTAAAATTTGTTAACTTTCAAATTTGTTTCTGTAATGTCCTCTTTCTCTCTCTCTCTCTCTCTCTCTCTCTCTCTCTCTCTCTAACATAAATTGAAACAATTGTTTTGAATCAGACGGGCTCAACGTCAAGAAGCCCAAAAAACTCAATAACAAACGAACAGCTAAGCTTCTTTTATTTTTAAAGTATCGGAAAAACCTGACCGTTTCCTGGAAATGAAATTTAAGGAAAGACATTTCCTGAAGTGGAAAAAGAAATAACGAGGAATATTTTGTTCAAGATTATATAAAAATGACTAATTTCTAAAATAAAAAGTTTAACGAGTTAGAATTGAAAAGTTGAAAGCGGACTGGTCCAATTGGTTCGACCTGTCAGTTTTATCTTCTTTCCATCCAATAACTGTCTCAATTGAGTTTCATTTGATTTCATTTTTTAATAATAACAATAATAATTGAATTTATTTTATTTTAATTACTTCTGTTGTTTCAATTTTAGTTTCAACTGAAGCAATCTCAATTAATTAACAGTAAATCAAATGATGTTTGCCCAAAATTAACTTGTATACCAATACTTGAATGTTTTAATACAAACTCTTTATATGTGAGCACTTATATTTACAATAAACTGAAATCATTTCATTCCATAAATTGTTGAAACAGCTATAAAAAAGTATTGCTATCTTCGACGTACTTAATAACCAAACGCTTTTTTTTCTGGAAATAAAGTTCTGTTTCTGTTTAAATACAATTCAATATCATTTGATTTGTTGTTTACTTAACCTAAAAAATGTTTCCACATATCTGTTAAAACTTAGAATTTAACAATTCCTCTATATCATAGACCATTTATGATATCATATTTTCTTAAATTTTATTTATAAATGTGTGGTGATTAGTGACCGTTAATCGATAATTATTCAGAAATCGTGAGATGCGGTCTGGTGTGATGTAGGTTTCAGGAAAACATTTTCTTTGTCGTGCCAACGTTTCGAACTTTATTGAGATCGTCTTCAGGGCCTGGGATTTACAAACATTGTTTAAATTTAACAAATACATGAAGGATGTGGAAAAAAGTGAATTTGTACAATGCAAAATATATTTTTATATTCAATCAAAGTATTTCTACTCACTCAAAGTGTTTTTCTTCTGTGTAATTGTGCCATTCTGGCGTGTCGTGTTGAGAGTGCCAGTGAGATATTGCTGTTTTAATCTCAACACGACACGCAAAAATGGCACAATTACACAGAAGACGAATACTTTGATTGAATATAAAAAAGATATATTTTGCATTGTATAAATTCACTTTTTTCCACATTCTACATTTATTTGTTAAATGTAAACAATGTTTGTGAATCCCAGGCTCTGAAGATGATCTCAATAAAGGTCGAAACGTTGGCACGATAAAGAAAATGTTTTTCTGAAACATCACACCAGATCGCATCTCACGATTTCTGAATAATTTATTTATACATATATTAAAATTTCATTTTTGTAACATTCTTGGATTAAATTGTAAAGTAATATACAATGGGAATTTATACTAAATCTACATTTCCTAGTTTATTGTAAGGAACACTTAATTTAAAACAGTTTATTTTTTTAAGTAAATTGATCACATTTAAGATAAAAATACTTTACACGTTCTAATATATAAAACGAGGGAACTGTCAAATTAACCTCTAAATTTGTGTTTGCAATCCTGTCTGTTTGTAAATTACAAACTAAGATAATAAAATCAAATAATTCATAGTACAAATTGTTTTATCGAGATTTTTGTTATTTAAATTAAACTTAACGTATTACAAAAATATAATTTTTTTTAGTAATTACTACGCATTTCTCTGCCTCCTGTTGTGATTTCTATCAGAGAATATAAATTCTAAATAAGTTGTTTTCGACGGGTTGTTCAAATATTTCACAAATCGATTTTTTCCCCTCATACCATTAAACGTGTAAAATGAAAGGTTATTAGAGGAACAAAAGAGACAACTTTCGTACAGAGACAACGCTGTCGCATGTTTCCCGATTTACAAAAGCTTTCAAATGAAAACATATCGACTCGACAAATCTTCCCCTTTACTTAACCCAGATTCTTGGCCGCTTATTCTGATCGATATCTCACTTACTCAGCTGATAAACATTATAAAATATAAAAATGAAAGGCGAACAGTTTTGCAACGTAAATGTTTAATCAGTACGGTTCAGGAAGGCTCCTGTGAATAAATTCTAGTTAAACTGTGATAGAGGAAATCTAACGTTTAAAAAGTTTATTTTCAAAATAAATTGAATTGAATATTACTTTTAAAAAATTCAATAAATATTTGTTATTAATTAAAACATCGTATAATGACAAATAAAACGCTTCCTACACAATATAGATTTTGTTTCGTGATTCATTACATAACTGCTTTCCTTGTTCAATCGATTATATTAATTAAATTAATTAATATTCGAAATTGATAGTAAAGTTTCTAATTATTTTCTGAAGCAAATGAAAAAATTCTTTTGTATTTTAGTTTTCTAATCGAAATCCATTTTCTACACTTATGAAGTTTCATTCGTGCCTGGCATTTATGTAGTTGTATTCCATGAAACAAGAAAGTCGAAAAATTGAACTGTACGAGTTTGCACGTTGTAATCGCCTAGGCTACGGTTACTATGGTTGCGAATTCTGACGAAATTTTGTTCTGACGAGTACGTCCGAAATCCTCGTCGGAACAAGGTGGTTACAATGTGCGCGTTTTCTGATAGTCAGTACCTTTCTGCGTCCCAGGAAAATGAACGAACTTAATGAGTTTTAATTTCTTGAAAGTCCGTTGATTCAGCTATTGTTGGTAGTTGGTGGGAAAACAGCATGTTAACCACTTATTTTCCACAAGAGACGAGAAGGTTGAATTATCAAACTTATTGCTAGTCCCTTAAAAAATGCATATTAATCCATGTATGTTTAGCGGTCACAATTTACCATATTAATTAAATAATTATTCAGAAATCGTGAGATGCGGTTTGGTGTGATGTAGGTTTCAGAAAAACATTTTCTTTATCGTGCCAACGTTTCGATCTTTATTGAGATCATCTTCAGGCCTGGGATGGAATTATCGACTAACGGTCACTAATCACCACATATATTAATTAAAATTAAATTTGAAAATGGCAAAAAAAGGGAAAATTCAAATGTTTGTGTGCTGAAATGAGTTGCTTTCCAGGGGGATCAAAGTAACGACAGCCTGAAGTGGTTAGAGTAGCTGAGTATTGAGCCGAAGGTCGTGGGTTCGAATCCCGCTCGTGACACTAAATTTTCATCTAAACCAAAATCCTTCGATAAAAAGAATTATTCATTAGAATAATTAAAACGGTTAATTTTGACACCAAGCAAATATGGCATCCTGCTAGTGTTGATTTCTTGAGAAACTTTCTCCCTCTTTGGCAGATATCTCTGGGGTGATTTTTTTCTCATCATCATCATTTCATGTCTTATAAACACCGATTGTCAAAAACAAAACTAATCAGTTTATCTATATCCATGGTGAAATATCAAAACTGTCTAAATTGAACGTCCGAACGCACGAAAAAATCGAAC